ATACCTATTTCATGTCTAAAATCAAATAAGTGCAAGGATCATTACAATATCTCTGCAGAACATTTAAAACATGCCTAATGTGAAGCACTAACACAATGGTTAAGAAAGTTATTTCACTTTTCAATTAATCAAGAATGGACCCCTACATCAATGTCAACATCAACTATCATACCTCTAGTTAAATCCTATAAAAAATCACTTACCGATCCAAACAATTACCGCGGTATCAGCATTATTCCAGTATTTACTAAACTATTAGAATACCTTATCTTACTCATATGCCTGGAGATAAAAAAAACTCATCAACTTCAATTTGGTTTTAATAATAAGAGCTCAACCTTCCATGCTGAATTTGCTGTAAGCGAAACAATTAGGCATTACAATCGCAACAATTTGCCTGTTTATTTATGTTCACTAGATGCTGAAAAGGCTTTTGACAGCTACAACTGGGATATTCTTTTTAATAAACTTTATTTTGATAAAAATCTACCTCTCCAAATAGTTAACACTATATCTTCTTTATACCGTAGCGGCAGTGCAACTGTCTCATACCTAGGTTGCAAATCAGTCTCATTTGATCTTAAGTAAGGAGTGAGACAAGGATCAATTCTCTCACGCTACCTGTATAACATATACACTGGGAAGCTACTCGAAACTATAAAAAATGATGAAACTGTTGGTACTACTATATATGGAAACTTGACTTGTGTTGTTGCTTATGCTGACGACATCATTCTTCTCAGCTCTACTCTCTCGGGCCTAAAAAAACTTATTTCAACGTGTAACATATACAACAATTTAAACGGGATAAAACTAAATGCTTTCAAAACGGAACTTTTGCTCTCTGGAAAAAGACAAATAATGAACTGCACAATATCTCTAGACAACCATCAAATTACACTTCGTGAGAAACTTAATCATCTCGGCTTTTCTTGGGATACAAAAAAATCAATTTTTGCTTCACTAAATAGGATGAATATTGATAGTAGGGTATCAAATTTCCGGGCAACAGTGCAAACTCTGATTCAATCTGGAATCCGGTTTGCACACCCAAGTTCTATTATGCAATTATATAAATCATTAGCAGTTCCAACGTTAACCCACGGTCTAGAGCTCTGTGAAAATAAAGATGCAACAATGAAAAGACTCCACACATTTGGAAGGAACGCAGTTAAATCAATTTTTATGTCAAATTATATACACCAAAACAAAATAAATCTATTTATCCGCCTTTTAAACAATTAAGTAACTTTTAAAATCATTAACTGCCAACTTAACTACTGTTCAGCTAAATTTTCTTTTTTAAATGATATAAAAGAATTATGTGATAATCATAAACTGAATATGAAAACCTTAATGCTGGTTTAAAAAAAAGTAAAACTTAAAGTCTTAGAAGATGTAATTCCTGAAGCTACTCTTCATATTTTGGTACACGCGGTTCAATGTTGAAATGTAAAAGAACAGCGAACAATTTTTATAAAGACACTTGAAGAAAACATTCCTAAATAATACTTTTTTTTATCTCTTTTTCTTAGTTTGCGTTTTTACCTTGTAAATTTATTTTACAGAGAGGGTGATAAATAAAATATTAATAATAATAATATTATTTAAGAGAATTAAACTAACGTAAAAATTTTTTCTTAATTATACGCAAAAATTTTCTTACTTCCTAAATTCACGACAAAAAACTTTATTAAATTTAATTGTTGCGTATTTACCTTGGTTGCGAAGATTTTTGACTCCTTCCCTAAGTTTCTTTCTCCCTTCCATCGTCTCTCTAGCAAAGTCTTCATTTATATATATTCAAATTCCTTTTAGGTTTTTAAGTGAACTTGAAATTTTAATTTTATCTTGATAGTTTAACAGTTTCACTACGGTAGTTCTTCGTGTTTTATCTTTTTTATATTATTCGCTCCAACTTTCTCCTGGTGAATCTTTCAGACCACCGACTCTAATTTTTTTACGACGAGAGCGGTTTTCTAAGCCAGTATTTTTTTTTTATTTATATTTTTAATTTCAAGAACATATTTCTTCCTTATTTGTGTTAATTTCTCCTTTATTTTTTCTTCTTGAAAGTTAAGACTTTCTTTCAAGTCTTTTTCAATATTTCGCATGTTTACTCTGTTCATATTTAATTCATTTTCTATTTTGTCGAGTCTATCAGTAATAATTTTTATATTTCCACTCACTATTTATGTGAAATTCCTTTCTTGGTCTTTTAATAACCTTTCTGTTTCTTTAAGCAAAGTTCTTTTTTGTTCTTCAAACTTGTTGGTAATAATTTTTTCGATATTTTTGATCGTTATTTCCATTTTTTAATTAATATTTTTGAAGAGCAGTCAAAAACACGTGCGTTCGCGGCAAAACTTTATGAAAAAGCTAATTTGAGGCCACTTGGTCATCATCCAAAAATAGCAGCCGATTATTATTATGTTCTTATTTTGGCAGTAATAATTATCAGACAAAGTTGTTAATTTTTCAATTTTAGATCCTGGAAGTGTTACTTCTGTCCAGGTTAGCAAGGCAGAAGAAATTTCTTCTCCCCCTCGTCCTGCTTTCGTGACATAAATCATAAACTGTGAAATCGATGGTCCACAATTTTCTTTTGTAAAATGAGGTGCCACATTTCATCACAGGTGTTGGGAGACACTTTTGTAAGTCCATAGTCAAAACTCTATGACTTGCATTTGCTTGAGCAGTGCTTAGTTCTGGAGACATAAATTTTTTTGAATTCTTCTCTCTGCTGTAATGACTCTCGTGAGATGGAAAAGAAGGGGATATGGTTAGTGACTGTGTCAATAATAGTTTGAGGAGTTTTATTCTTTGGCTCATATTTACCTCTGCCGTCTGTTTCAATTAGTCCACCTGATAGAAGGTTTTTTAGGGCTGTATTCACTGCAGTATTAGAAATTGACAAAGTGTTCAAAAATATAACCTTGCATACTTTAATATTATTATCATTGATAAAAAATCTGTCAACTAGCGTTTTTTGCTTTTGTTTTTTTGCTTTTGCTTGATGAATAGTTGGCTCTTCTGATTTTACAGATGCAATAATAAACTGGCGCTTATCATCATTGTCTCTTTCCGAACTTCAGTAATTTCTAAATATTTTCATCCTTTGTGTGTCAGTAATTTTTTCATAACATTTCAGTTTACATGAGCATGGTGGTCTGATTTCCCTTTTTTAAATAGTCTTCCCTCTTTTGCTTATGTTTGCTTCTCCCAAAGCAAGGTTTGTTTTTCTTTTGTCGCATAACCATTAATTCTCGTTTTTTTCCATATTGCTTGATTTTTGTCGCATTTTTAATTTTACGTTTAAGTATGGCTGACTGATTTCCTATGTCATTTCTATTTATTTGTGAATCAGACTCCGAAGCTGTCAGTTCATGAGAGCTTTGTTCATAATTACTATCGTCCCTTTCAAAATTAATCGAATGACTACTGACTGGTGAAAATTGTGGCGGTTGTATACACAATTGCCTGTCCACTGTAACTTCTGAATTATTTGTCATGACTTCATCGACAATGATATGCACTCTTTCTGCAAAAATAAATATTTATTTATTAAACTTCTCGGTTGGAACTCAGTTTTATAAAATCAATAAAATATTCTAGATAAAAATATTATCTAATGTTTTATTTATGCCATACTGTTGATCGATTAACACCTCTTCACTAGTTTCTAAGATATTAATACCTCTTCATTAGTTTCTTATCACGTCCTCTTCATTAAATATTAAACCATGATCAGTAAAATTGAAATTAAAAAATGTATACTAAACACCAAGGTTTGAAACCCTAACGAAAGGTTACCAAGCACTAGTAACCAAGCACTGGTAACCAAAGGGTACCAAACACCAAGGTTTGGGTCGCCAAAGGAAGGAGCTGAGACCTGTGACTAAGGGGATTTGGTACGGAAAAAAAAGATGCTACAGGCCGTTCCAAAAAGAAATAATAATTTGATCCATTTAATAGTATATACTTACTAGATTGATCTAAGTGCTGTAACTCATCTAAATCATTGCAAAAATGTATTATCTCAGCAAAAACTTCAAGTTCCTTGTTATTGATATCATCATTGGAGGGCCTAATCAATGGCACATCCTTTGCTGTAAAATGTACAACACAGTTTAAAAAGTTTTGTAATTAAAGTATTATAAAAATAGGCAAATCTGCACTAATTAACCCACCTGTTTCTAAAAGTCTAATTTACATCTGTTTTTAAACTGTTCCTTTTTACATTATAAAATATATATAAATATAATGTCGTATATTTTAACACAATATAATCAATAAAATCAAGAATAAGTAAAAAGAAAACACTGCAGTATATTTTTACAATACATGTACTAATGAATCTAAGAATAAGTCAAAAATAAATAAAAAAACAACTCTGCCCTATATTTATACATATATATATATACTAATAAAACTAAGAATAAGTAAGAAACAAGCACTGAATATTACACAAACATGCTGAATATTACACAACAGAAAACATTAAAGAAACAATGAAAGTTTAATAAAAACAACAAAGAAAAGGTTATAAAACGAAACCTTCCATGTTGTTGTTTTGAAAATGACACTATGTCGTATACCCAGTTAACCATTCCAACTGGGTCCCGGCTGGGACCCAACTGGGGAAAATAATGGGACTCATATGGGTTTCCCACATGGGTTCCATTGCAATTCTGTCAGTGGGATCCAACTGGGTCCCATCTGGGATTAGTCTGGGTTTTTGACGGGAAATCCCATATTGAACCCAGATATTTTTTTCATTTACCGTGGGTTTTCTCATTTTTTTAGTTTGTTTTTCGCAGATTTTTTGTATCTCGAATCTGCGAAATAATGTGACAATTTTCTAATTAAAAAGCGTCGCATTTTTTATATTAAATTAAAAAGTAAAGGTTTATCTATATTAAATTCGCTGTAAGGGCAATAAAATGTATAAGACAAATGATTATTTGGTCTGACTTTTACGAATCAATTGAAAAAACATATTTGAATTTCATAATATTTAAAGCAACAAAAAACTTTGATGCAAAACTGTACTACGATAGTAATATACTGCCACATTAGTTCTCTCATATCACCACCATAATCACTGACACATTAGTTCTCTCATATCGCCACTATAAAGTTTATTGTTACGCTTCTTTAGTGTTTTCATCCACTTTTACACTAATTTTATAAATTAAAAATAAACATTTAAATAATATAATAATTTATAGCATATATATTTACAAAGTATAGATAAAAATATTTATTGATAATATTATTTAGTCATATCTTGCATATAACTAACAAACACTAGGCAATCAAAAACACACGTACAAATCGCAAGCTAACTCAACAGTATATAAATCAATATACGTGTTATAACAACAGCCAGATTGAAGTAGAGGCTTCTTCAGTTGCCATCATCTAGTTTTAAAGTTTCTTCAGTTTTTCTTTTTAACAGGCATCTTGCAGGGAATCTAAAACAATGTTATTTCAGGTAAATGGTAAATGTTATTAATTAGATATGACATAAATAGACTTGTAAACAACAATAATATAACATGACTAATATGTTAGCATTTAAAATTTAAAGTCTTGACTCAAGTTAACCTGACATCAAACTCTTAAATCATTTGGTGGGGGTTTAATATCTTTTATATAATTTAATAAATGCAAAAATAATCAATATCACTAACATTTAGATTGTATCTTTTTTTTTTTTTTAATATCTTCGCTTCCAACAAGGCTACAAGCAACCATTAGTTAGTGTTGGAAGTTTCTGGAAGAGAGAAGATGAAGATTGTAGAGAAAGATACCGATTGAAAGACAACATAAAAGATCGCAAATTATATGAATCTGGAAAGCAAGATGAAGGAAACGAATTCCAAAAAACTAATGTTCAAGGAAAAAAACTAGACGAATAAGAGTTTTTAGAGCACTTAGGAACAGTAATAGAAAAAAGATGAGACTTAATTGAATGACGAGTAACACGAGAATAAATTTAAGTAGATGGCACAAGAGACGCTAGCTCTTTGGAGCAGTGCCCATTATAGTATTTGTAGAAAAGAGAAAAAGATGCAACATTATGGCGATATGATAAAGGTTGGCTGCAAAAGCAGGTCCAACTATGTTTACAATGCGTTTTTTCACCTTGTCTAAAAGAGAAAGAACATCATTAGAAGATCTGCCCCAAATATGGCAACAGTATTCCATACAAAGCTGGATTTGAGATTTATAGAGATAGAAAATAGAATTCAGAGTAAGAAAGTATCAAGCTTGATAAAAAGATGCAACTTTAGCTAATTTTGCAACGGATTTGATATATGGTTTCCAAGAAAGATCAGAAGAGTTAATCCTAGAAGATGAAGGGTAGATGACTTATCAAGTACATTACCGTTCATAAATATAGGTCTACATTATTGCGATAACAATTGCAGAAAAAAATTGAGTTTTATCTGAATTAAAGTTCACCAGCCACTGTGAGCCCCATGCTGTAGCAGAAGTGAGATCTTTTTCAAGCTCAAATACCCCCTTTAAGCAATCAGAGATTTTTGGTTTCTTATCAAGACAAGAATAAATAGTAGTATCATCAGCGAACAAAGCCACCTTAGATGTGAAAATATCTGGAAGATTATTGATGTAAACTGAAAAGAGTCTAGGGCCAAGGATAGAACCTTGAGGAACACTTGAAGTTACAGGATATGAAGAAAAGTGCTGTCCATCGAAGACAACTTTTATACTACAATTGGTTAGAAAGGATTCAATAATCTTAAAGATGTTACCAGATACACCGTAAGAAAAAAGCTAATGGAGAAGACCAGCATGCCAAACTTTATCAAATGCTTAAGAAATGTCAAGAGCGACGGCCTTAACCTCTCCACCTAATTAAACGATGATCATTTTAGGATATATTATTACTTGAAAATAATTATTTGCTATAATTTAATACATTGAAAAAAATTTAAAACAATTGTAGTTTTGAACACAATAAATTTTGTATTAAAATTATTTTCGCAATGAAAATTTACAATTATAAACAAGCGTAGAGTACTTACATTAATATATATATAATAGTTATATTCATGATTAGTCAAACATAAGGTATTTCAATTATCATGGACCAAAATTTATTGTTGAATTTTATGTTTTCTTAGAACTACATTTTGTGATTATTAAATTTATTTCACAGCAGATTCTAAAAAATATGCAATACCCTAATTAATTGGTTTAAAAAATCATTATACATAAATAACTTAGAACTTATCCATTCACAGAAGCCCAGGTCAACAATAGAAAAAACCTGTGTATTTTGCAAATTCTATATATTTTTAATATACAAAAATTATTTTGTTTATTTTATCAAATTTTGTAAACTAATAGTTTGAGATATTAAAACTCGGAGAAAGTAAAACTTTCCTAAACTTTCTGAAACATAAATATTCAAAATAATGTTGTCAGATTAAGTGTAAACTTACTAGATTTAGATAAATCATTTCATAGAAGATTATTCATAACTTATATGCGTAAAAAACTAAAACTTGTTGAAGTAATGTATTTTCTATTGTTAATCATAAATCAACACAAACCAACTCTAAAAACAAAACATAGATACTATTGAACCTCTTTAATAAATTTAATAAAGTTAAAAAGTACAAAAATAACAAATAAAAAATGTATTACCAAAAAAATAGATATCTTTTTTATATTGTAAATAAACATATTATATATGACTATATGATATCATATAATAACGAAATGAAATTGACTTACTATAGACTACAAGTTGCCCAGTATACGCACTTTAACACGACTGACCTCAAAAATTAGTTCTATGGAGGACCTAAACTTCATAAATAGTATCTTTATGAATTTAGATCCATTAAAAAGAACTTCCATTATTTTAATTGATGAAGTTTATATAAAAGCTTCATTATTTTACCAAAGAGGCGCGTTGTTTGGTCATTCAGTAAACTACCCAGAGAGGCTAGCAACAACAATTTTAGCATTTATGATTAAATGTCTTTTTGGAGGACCAGAATTTATATGTAGAGCTCAACCAGTTTTAAATCTTGAATTTCAATTCGCACAATGTCAACAAATTCTTGATGCAATAAATATTAATGAAAACAGTAAGACACTTGCAATCACCACTGATGGTAACCGGGTAAAATAACGATTTTTCAGAACATTTAAAACATTTGAAAGTAAACCATGGTTAACAACATCAGGTACATATTTATTGTATGACTATGTCCATCTCCTAAAATGTATACGAAATAATTGGTACATACTTCATAAATGCTAAATCTGTACTTGAAAAAATACATATTCAACATACTAAACTGATATTACAACTAGACATTCCTGTTAATGGTGTTGATGGTCATATTTGTGACATATGTTGCAGAGATGTTTCTACTGATGAAAAGGAATTTCTGGATAATTTGCATGATCTTGAAAGCTTGGTTAATAAATCGACATTATTAGCTATCGTTTACATAGCTGGCTATGTGCAAAAAAATGAAATAAATATCTATGATGATACAACCAGTTATTATAACGAATATGGAGATTATCTGAATAGCTTAAACAGAGGTGGACTTGAAATTCCTACTGATACTCTCGTCCAATGGTCAATATTTTGTTTTCTATTTTTTCAAGGTGCCACTGGACCTTTATGCAGAACATTTAGTGTAACTCAGTTTCAATTCATAGCAGCCAAGTATAGATTTAAAATAACAAAGAGACAATGCAGAATATATTCTAATATTTTGTTGAAGAATTATGCACTAATTTCTACTCCTAATAGTAGCAGAGAATCGAAAGCAAAAATACTAAAGCTGTCATAGTTTTTTTGAATTTCAGGTTTTAATTCTACTTTTGTTTTATGTCTCTGGATGTATTTAAATTTAAAAATAGTTACCCTATTTGATACATAATAAGAGATAGATAAAACTAAAAAGTTTTTTAATGAATTGACTTTGTTTTTGTTTTTATTTGACATTTTTTGATGTTACTTTATTTCAAGTTATGTTCTGTAAGCAAAAAAAAAAAATTCTTTTAACATTTTTAAATATGTTAAAGTATGAACATTTTTCAAACGATTTTAGTTTTCTTATTATAATTTTGTCTTTATTAAAGATTCGAATAAGAAAGTATTGACAAAGTATTAAAAGCGATTAGTAAGACTTTATATAAATATACAAGCAATCAAAGTTTAATCGGCCTTCAGTTTTTGCGGCGTGTCGCGCGATGTCAAGGCCTGTTATTATAGAAGGCCATGCTTGAAATATAATACAACTTTATAGAATTCTATAATGCGAAATACCTTCTAGAAGGTGTTTCGCATTTTAATTGTTTGAAGAGTAGTCTTTTTTTTTTATACCAGTATCTGTCGCAAAAGGTGAACGACCTTTAAGTAAATGAAAATTGATTTAAAAAAATGATTGTTGAGGCCGCTTTAAAATAAGAGATTTAAGAACGTCTATCGGATATACATTTTGAAAATGAATTGAAAACAACTCGGTCGTAAGATAACATAATAATAATAACAATTTTTTTTTGTATAAAAGCATTAAAAAAAGAGTGTTTTAAACATTAGTTTCAAAGAATTTGTTTATTAATCCTAATCAGTTAATGTGTTGTAATAGCGTTAGAAATAGAAAATACAGCTATTAACTCGTATAATTGAACTTGCTTTAAATTTAAAAATATGCTTGCTTGTTTGGGGCGCCTAATTGCTACTATGCCTTAGGCGTCATAAAAGCTCTCGGCGGCCCTGGATATGACCTACAATACGTAAAAAACTCTTTTTACTTTACAACATTCATTTTAATATATCACATTTACTTTAAAAAATATTTTTATTTATTTTTGACGTCAATGTTTTTTTACAAATAAGTTAGTATTAAACAAAGCTTTCAAATCAATTAAATTATCACGAGACATTCTTAATTACGTAAAATGCATCTACATTTCCCAAAAGTTAGTGTTTTACGGGTAATAAAATGTTTATTAAAAGTAGTTTGCAACGGTTAATTTTTTTATTATTATTATTATTTATTATTATTATTTTCTCTTAAACACCCAGCAATAAAATTACAGGTAAATTAATTTATATTAATACAGTTACAAGGCCAGTCTTGGCTCTCCAAACATTTGTCTTAAATGCCAATAACTAGACCGACTAGACGGTTAGGTCAATTTTAGAAATATTCTCCTCCATCATTGTCTTAAATTTTTCTCTTTGTTCTTTTAAGTTCCATAATTGGAACGCTTCTTTTAATATTGATATAGTATCAGCTTGCAGTTCTTCTTGAGGTTTAATTTTTTTGCCTTTTATTATGCATTGATGTTCAAGCCACGAGTTTTACATATAGCAATCACTTCGTTTATGAATGATTTTTTATTTTGTGTTGCCACTAATTAACTAATTATCAGCGAATAGCAAGTTTGATTTTTCATTAGCCTAATTAATAGGATTACTTTATTTCGAAGAAGAGTAGTTGAAATATCTTCTATTTTAAAAAAGAATTTAGGTAATTTTTACTATACTTTGAAATACAAAAAATTGATTTTAAAACTGCTGTTTCTTAGAAAACTAATGTCATAGTTGCATAGCTCAAGGCCATGTATAAGCTTTGGCACTGTCAAGGTATTGTATAAATGGACTATTGTTTGACGGCTGACAAAAACGAATTTCACTGTCAATTAGAGCTATTGCAACCGATTGAAACTGCATTATACGTTCATTTAGATTTGTTTTTTGAAGTGTTTCGATTTTGTTTTTGTTGGTATCGTTATCCCATTGGAAACCCAAATGCTTTAATTTATTTTGGAGATGTATATAAGTTCCGTTAATTTAGATAATGCTGTTGAAAATTAAACTTTTACGAGAGATTTTGTAAAATTAATTTAAAAAATGACGCTAAGAATTACAACCCGCATAGAATTTCAGTAATTGGCGGCGCCTATGATCTTTAATAATGCGTTACCCACCCATCTGTTTATGTGTGTAGAACGAACAAAATATTATTACGAAAAGTAATTAAGTTAACCGATTTTAAGCTTATAGTTAAAATATTTGTACCTTAACATACTTTTGGCCGGGTGAATAAAAAACAGTTGCTTTTACTCAGCGTTTTTGGAGAAATTGTTTAGTTTTATGTGAATAAAATTTGGGCAAAATCGCTCATATTTTTATTCATATTAAGTTCAGCAATTTGCTTCTAAAACGTCGAGTTGCTCAGCTTTACACGAAAAACATTTGAGGAACTTTGCTCAAGTTTTTATTCACGTAAAGCTGAACAATTACTGAGTAAAAACAATAGCTCACCCGGCCTAATAAACATATTATTTTGAAAACACTGACTACATATTTTTTGGAATCTAGAATAGAGTAAAAGTACCGCAAACCGGACACTCTTCACAAAAAGCTGAATAACTTTTTCAATATTGAGAATTTGTAAGATTTTTTTTTCTGGAATATAGTTTATTATTAAAGCAATTATGAAGTGTAAACCCAGTGGGCACCGGACCAAAAAAAGACGTCTTTTGAACGTTCAAAAGACGTCCAAAAGACGTCTTTGGAAAATTAAATTTTATTTTTTTAAAAAGTGTCCGCTTTTCGGAAAATTGTCCCTAAAAGCGGACAGTTCCAAATTACATAAAAAAACATAGATAAATTGATAAATTCAATATTTTTATTTTTATTTTTAAAATATACACATAATAATAATACAAGCAAAAAAAACTAGAAAAAAATAAATAAAAAAACATAAGCAAGCTGGAGCTTAAAAAAATAATAAAAAATTTATAAACTAGGTTCTACAACTTTTCGTGCAAAAGAGCTCTTCGTCTTTTATATATCTTTTTAGGAGACAAGGTTCGCAAAGCCACGAACTGCAACTAGATTTTTCACAAGTTTTCCATAAAACTTGCATCTCTGGCATTTCATTTTCGAAATCTTTTGGGCACTTTTTGCATTTTTTGTACTTTTTTTTGGCTTTCTTGGCAGGAGTTTCTACATCTGCTGCTGCAATTTCAACATATGTTCGTTTTAACAGCTTTGTGTCTTCTTCTTCTCTTAACTTATTTAACCATGCATCTTCTGTAAAAGCTTGACCAGCCACTTTTCTAACATTTCTGGTTTTTTTGCAGGATGCTTGTAAGCGTTTTGGAAATGAAATTGTATCATGAGAGCTCTTTTAAGACTAATTTTTACACGAGTTGCCAATTCTTTTTGAGAAGTTAAATTCAAAGTTGAAATTGAAGTTGGAGTTGCAGGCGGAATTAAGGTCTGTGTTTGTTGAGCAGTTTGAGGCAAAGAACTTGGGCTGCGTGATGATTTTGTAACTGCTGATGATGTTATTAAGGCATTATTAAAAGCTTGACAAGTTTGTAATTTTGATTTGTCAATATTGTCTTCATTTAATGGAAAAAGCCCATAGTGTTTTCAAAACCAGCCATAATTTGAGTACAAGTGTAAGCTTTGTTGCTTCTATATAACTGTGCAAGGAGACTTGGAAAATTTTTTTTAGACAAATTGCTAAAACCACTTTCAGCATAAAAGTTTCTTAAAATATCACGCCAAACATCTTTAACATGGCAAAATACACCAACATCTAAAGGCTGCAGTATATGAGATGAATGGGCGGGAATACAAATTAGTGTTATATTGTTTTCTTTACACTTTAAGGCTACATTTAATGACACGTGTGTGCTGTGGCTATCCAAAAGTAGAATATGTTGACCACCAATTTTTTGAAAGTGAGAAATAAACATTTCATCGAACCACTGCAAAAATTGTGTACTTTCCATCCAACCAGATAGTGATGTTGTGTAAAGTGTATTTAGTGGACCTCCTTTAATCCAATCATCATCAAGTCAATTCTTTGATTTGTAAATAACATAAGGCGGTAAAAAAATCCGTCAGCATTAACACAATTGAGAACAGTATAGTTTATTTTTTCATTATTTCCAGTCAATACTAGTGGACGCTTTGCACCTCTTCTGATTATTACTTTCGCATCGCCTTTGTCACCATTGAAACCAGTTTCATCACGATTCCACAAATGCATGGCTTTACTAAAACCTATTTTTGCTAAATCAAAATTGTTCTTCAAAACATCAAAATAACGGGCAATAATATCTGGTGTGCATGACCCTGCTCTCAAGGATGCAATGTTTGTAGCTGTTCTTTCGCTTAGTTCTGAGTGCCATCGACTCATAAATCCTTTGTACCATTTGCGACCAGGCGTTTCATTTTTGAACAAACACGTTGCATCATTTTCAGTTAAATAGTCTCTCACTAAACTTTGAAGTTGATTTATTCGTCTACCTAAGCCCCTATCGCCAAGCATCTGAAGAAGGTGAACTATGGTTAACTTGATAAAAAGGCTCAATTTCGTTGTATATAGCTGACCCAGAGAAATGGCTGAGTGCATATGAAAGCCCTTGATGTCTGGATTTCAAAAATATAAAATTTGAAATTCAACTATTTCGTCTCGGAAAACAAAATGAGTTTTTATTTTTATTATATTACAGCAACTAGACAAATGACAGCATAACAATTTTTTACAGTATACAAAAAATTTAAGTGAGTGATTATTTTATTATTACATGACTAAAATATTGCTTTTTGTTTTTATGACTTTGCAAAAAGAGCATACCTGTATTTCTTACATAAAATGATTTTTTGTTATTATTGGTGTTAAAATTACGGGAAAGGGCTATTCTTAATACATCAAAACAAAGAGCCACTCATTTTTACGATTTTGGAATCAATTGGTCTTTCAAAATGCCTAATCAAACTAAAACTCACAAAGGTTGCCGGAAAACTGTGTGTTTCTTGTGCTTGAAAAAAAGCACAAGGAGAATTCATCATCAATGGCACAGGAAATTTCATGCTTGTTTGAACATAAGATTAACTTTGAAGATAAACGAACGCCAATTGGGATTTGTGAAGGATGTCGTTCATCACTGCGCAGAAAACTTGATGGAAAAGAGGTTGTCATGCCAAGACTCTATGACTTTAAAACCATCAATGTCAAGCGACCTGCAAGCGGACTGATCTGTGATTGCATTATATGTCAAGTTGGGCATCTGAAGCTAAATGTATCTCATCCTCTTGAAAAAGTCAGAAAAATGACATGTGAAGAGAAAGCTGTAAATAAAAATTTAACCTCTGACCACAGATGTTCCAAAAGCCTCTCGGTTCTGGGGAAAGGAATTTCTCATGTATGCATTGAAGCTAAGTTTCGTGAAAATATGAGCCTTTTCGCATCAAATAACAGCACAGTTGCTCAACAAATTGCAGCTTCTGCAATAGCTGGCACAGATGCTTCCCCTCAAGGAACAATTCGTCTGACTCAAGCAAAAGATGGACGACCTTTACCTGTCAACCTTGTGAAAATGATCCTCCTTCATGTAAAAAAAACTTGACTACAAACTCTTTCAAAGATAGTGGTTGCAATCGTCAGCTTATCATTGCAATTGCTGAAGATTTATCTGAAACCTATTTGAATGTCCAAAATGTTCTGTTTCTCATCAAGCCTAACCCTAAGGGTTTTGTTGTTTCTTGTGATCTGAAGCTGGTCACATCCTTGTACGCGGTGTGATGTCCCACCAAATAACCTTGCACAATCTGGAAATCTTTGCACCTCTGGGCCTCTTCATCATCATCATGTCAAGCTTTTGATGCTGCAGGACGTGACATGAAAAAAGCAAAAGAATTCAGAAATGTGGTTCATCCTCCATTACTTGCTTTGGATGATGAGCAATTGGTTTTGGATCTAACTCCACTTACGGAATCGCATCTGCTGCTTGGAGTTGTCATTACCTCTTCAAGATCTTGAAGTCAATGTGACCGCATGCTAGTGGCTAGACCGCAAGTGGCTAGATGCTCTTCACATAAAACAACAACCTTTCCACGGAGGACAATTTGCTTGAAAAGATTGTCATAAGCTTCTGAAGAACCTAGATTTGTTGCAAAATCTTGCAGAGAAAACGTCCTCAATTTATATTTGTCCCATTATCAACACTTTCCAGAAATTTGAAGCTGTGATCAGTGCTTGCTTTAGGTCCACATTATCTTCTGATTTCTCTAGAAAAATTGACTTCAGAGAAGCATATATAGCAATGCCATATGGAAGCGTGATTCCAAAAGTGCATGTAGTATTTTTTCATGTGAAGGACTTCATCCAAAAGAAAAATACCGCTTTGGGAATCTTCAGTGAACAAACGACAGAAGCTATGCACCATCAATTTCATCAACACTGGCAAAGATACAAGAGACCATCAACCCATCCAGAATATGGAAGGCAACTTCAAACATGCATAGTTGACTTTAACAGCATCCATCTTTAAAGGCAGTTTTGAAACAGGAGCAGAAGACTTATTTCATGAATTAAAAAAGTTTTGCACTATTGTTAGTCTTTTTGTTAAAATGTAGTTTATTTTTATCAAACCAGTGCTGTAAAATAAAAAAATACATATGATATCATTGAAGAAATAAAATTATCACTAGCTCAAATTTTTTGATGCTTTAAAAATGCAAAAAATGGGTATGCTGCCATTTGTCTAGTTGCTGTAATATAGTAAAAATAAAAACTCAATTTTCCGAGACGAAATAGTTGGATTTCAAGTTTTATATTTTTGAAATCCTGGGCTTTCATATGCACCCTGCTAATTCTCTGGGTCAGCTATATACACTTATCATGAATTCTGGCTGGAGGTGCTATTTTGTAAAAGTTTTTTTTGTTATGTGATCATGATCATGCAAATTTTTTTTAAGTCGTTAAGTTGGCTTTTTTATTTGTTTACATTGAAAGATTTTGCATAATGTATGCAAATAAATTAACTCATTATTTTGCGAAATATTATTAAAATTTAAACGACTAATATGAAAAAATCAGGATACTAGGAAATCAGAGATATAGTTTGCATTCAAACTCAAATAATTGAGGAGCAATTTGCCGCTTGAGCGCAAGGTAAATGTTATTTTTGTAATCGTATTTTTTTATATTTGGCTTCTTGTGTATTCGCGTTTTGATAGTTTTATTGTTTGAATACCTTTTATATAAAAGATCAATTTATATTCAAAAGAATATTTCCATTTGATTGCTAGTCAGGGTTCCCACTATTAAAACTAAGGCTAATACTAAGGATTTTAAAGAGATATTTTCCTAATATTTAAGGAGATTTGGTCGCGAACGACATTTTTTTTTGAAAGAAAAAGTAAGGATGATTAAGGAGAAAACGATTACATTAAAAACATAATATAATTTTTTCAATAAATTTTAAATATAAACAGAGAAATTGTTATTTTATATACATATAAATTTTAATATATATATAATATCAAAAATCTATGTTTTATTATTTTCTTTATTAACAAGTATAATCTATTCACTTAAAAAATTTTTTCTAGATGAATAAAAAAAATGAGAAATAAAGGAGAGCAGTCAAATTTTAACTTTTTAAAAGGTTATTTAAGGACATTTAAGGTTTTTATCTTTTAAGAATATTTAAGGAGGTGTGGGAACCCTGTAAGTTCTCTTTTTAGATAATTAATCAAGAAACAGTTTAAAACTATTTCTTAAAACGTATTTTGCAACGTTTTATTGCATTGAAAACGGCAACAAACAAACAAAAGACTTTTTTTTCGATATATATTCTGCCATATGAACATATATTTTAAATAATAAATTCATATGGAATGGGTTCGACCAATATTGGCGCGTTATTCTTTGATGAAACGAAGTGAGCTTCACGCGGCAATACGGGCTAACAAAAAAAAAAAAATTAAAAAAATTAAAAAAATTAAAATGATCAAAACATGAATAGGGAAAAAACCATTAAATAAAGGATTTAAACTAACATAAGCTCTATATACACACATTACAAGATGGATTTATATACACGTATGTATGTATGTGTGTGTGTCTATATATATATATATATATATATATATATATATATATATATATATATATATATATATATATATATATATATATATATATATATATATGATTTAAAATATCACTGTAGGATTATAGGTAATGTAGGCTGTAGGATTAAAAAGACTATAGGATTCAAAATACTATTGATCTAAATCTTACAAAACTCAGACTGCAAATTATGCAAAACATCTTCATAAAAAGATCTACTCAAGACAGTAGGTTCTGCCATTTCTGGCACTGTCCAATAGAATTCTTTAAGAAGTGTTTTTTTCATCATTGTTTGTACTAATATGTCATTTTAAACTTCCTACCTCAAATTGTATAACAACTCAGACTGCAAATTATGCAAAACATCTTCATAAAAAGATCTACTAAAGACAGTAGGTTCTGCCATTTCTGGCACTGTCCAATAGAACTCTTTAAGAAGTGTTTTTTTCATCATTGTTTGTACTAAGTATGTCATTATAAACTTCCTACCTCAAATTGTATAACAACTCAGACTGCAAATTATGCAAAACATCTTCATAAAAAGATCTACTAAAGACAGTAGGTTCTGCCATTTCTGGCACTGTCCAATAGAATTCTTTAAGAAGTGTTTTTTTCATCATTGTTTGTACTAAGTATGTCATTTTAAACTTCCTACCTCAAATTGTATAACAACTCAGACTGCAAATTATGCAAAACATCTTCATAAAAAGATCTACTAAAGACAGTAGGTTCTGCCATTTCTGGCACTGTCCAATAGAATTCTTTAAGAAGTGTTTTTTCATCATTGTTTGTACTAAGTACGTCATTTTAAACTTCTTAATTCTAGTTGTATTAAATCTCAGACTGCAAATTATGCAAAACATAACACAACTAGATATATAAATACAAATAAAATTTGTACATCAATTAACTTATGAGATATGATTATATGGTCATCCATACTAAAAGTACTTTAAAGTTAACACTTGATTGCAATAAAATTTAGATACCAATGACATAAGATTATTACATATTTAGGCAAACTTAAACTTACTTGTCGCCTGCAGTCAACTTTAGCTCCTGTTGCTTTAGCAGCCCTCTTCTTTACCTCATTCTCTTTAACACGTCTAAAGAAAAAGAATCCACTAAACAAAAAAAAAACAATATTTAATAATGTAAAAAATTAAATAATATGATCCAGAATTTAAAGGTAAGTTAAAAAAAAAAACAATAAAATAAATACTCAAAAAATAAGTATTTGAGCTATAAGTACAGCATGACAAGGCTAATGTTCAAAGGTCAGATACAAACAAACAAACATTACCCATTTGCATATCTATTTTGAAGCAACTTTTTTAAAAAAAGTTTAAATGTAAACAATGTAAAAATGTAAATGTAAACAAAAGTTGACAAATTTAAATGTATTTAGTAATAAGGAGGTATTAGACCAACATAATATATATTACTTAAAAGAAATCCACACTAATTAGACTACACAATTTTTTTGGGACATGTTTTTATAAAATTATTTTAAGGAGAAATAAAAAAAAATATTTTCTCAATTTTTTTTTAACTCAAATCTTAAAAAACTATTTTTCTTTAAATTTTTGTATATTGATCAATATGTAGACTTCAATGTGTATAAATAACAACAAGAGTAATCAAATTAAAGATAATTTAAATTTTAACTAAAAACTCAAATCAAACCTTATCTTAAAAAACTTTTTGCAAAAACATTCCTGCTGCAAACTTTTATACACAAATAATATTTATAAAAAGTCATATAAAACTTAGTACTCTCTATACATGGCCGGGAAGAGGCCAAGTCAAACTAATTAATCCAACCAATACAAAAATTTTTTAAAAATAAGATTAAAACAATACCTTAGAAAATCATCTCGGCATTTAGAATGTTTGACATGTTCAATACGAACATTAATCTTTTTTGGAATTATTCGGTTCCTAGCATAAAGTAAAATCATTAAAACAACAAAAGCACAAGAGAAAATTCATTGAATAATTGAAGTTAATTAAAGCACAACAAAAAATTACTTCAGTAGTTTAAAATGACAATTAACTTAAAAGGCAATATTTTATCCTTACACATAAATATTTCTAAAAATTTTAATTGTTATCGATAAATAATTTTTATTAGGTAAAAAATACTTTTAAACATTAGTATTGCATACCCTAATTGCTTGTTTACAACTACTCCAACTGCACTTTTAGTCACATTAAAAACTCTCCCTGTCTTTCCATGGTAAAATTTGTATGGCATACCTTTTTGAATAGCACCATTTCCCTATTTAAAATAATTTTCTTTTAATTAAAAATATGCATAATACTAATGAGAACAAACAGCTTTTTTTTGTATAAACAAATGTATATTAATTATTAAAAATAAAAACATTTCAACTTGTGCGCTAACAAATTTGTACACACTTAATGACACTAACATAAAAGTTTAAACCTGTTAAATAAGTGCTTTAAAAGTCAACAAATATTTGCCTCTAATTTTTAATGGATTTCATTTTTAAGCAAGGTTTTAAATAACAATCAATCAACGCAAACTTTTTTATCATAAGTAATTATAAAAGGGACAGAAGAAAATGCAGCAGTGCATATAGCAACAAATTATAATATTATTTAAAAAAAAATTAACATCAATGTCATGATTATAAATGCGCACAGATTTTTTAGAATTTTTAAAATAACTTGTCTTGTGTTATTTTAAAGGCAGTTAAACATGTTACATGTATGTCATATTTAAGTACTGATTACTTATATTATATATTTTAGTTTTTATTTATTTATTTTAGTATTTTAGATATTTTAAAAAGTATTATATTATTTTAATTGGATAAAGTTATACACAAATAAATTTTTTGCTCATTTATCATAGGTAGGGTAATAAAATAAATTTTTGCAAATTTAAAAATAATTTTATCTTGGGTGCATTAGGCCATGATTATCTAGCAAAAAAAAATGTTTTTTTTTTTTTATCAACTTTAAATGTATTAGTTTAAATTTATAAAAGAAAAAGAAACCTTGTTAAATCATTACCTTTAC